TGACAAGCCTCCAGTCGGCGGAACCGTCGGCGTCCAGTGCTTCTGCTCACCCCACCAGTGGCGATCTCATCTCCATCGACTGAGAGGCCACCTCGAAAGCCTAGCTTCTTTTTCATTTCCTACTGTGTGTCCTTCTCTGTACGAGCACTGGGCCTGCTGTAACCGTCCGTCCCTTGCAGCAGCGAGATGGTCCGACTGTTTGTCTCTTGCTCTCTCTTTTTTCCAGTCTGCGTCTGTGGGTGCCTCAGCGGCGTACTGGGTTTTTGCTATTTCTTTTTTCTGTGGTCCAATTATGTCCTTCTTTCGCCTCCCCCTCCCCTCCCTCCATTACTGTCTGTGATGTGCAGTTATCTCCGTCTTTCTTGCTGAAAAAAAAACATTCCATTTTCTTTGTTTTTTTAGAAGCAGTACTTTGTATTTACGGCTGGCTTTTCGCTCCTGCCACCTTTTGTCATCTTCCTTTTTCTCCTCTTGTTGTTTTACATATCAAAAAGGAAAGTTGTTTCTACTAAGGCTGGACTTCCTTTGCTTTTCCTGAGAGTGGCTGGGATCTGAAGGTTTGATTAGGCGCTGTGTATTACAGTCGTTCTAGCGGAGGAATTAGGAGAAATTTTACTTGGTGTCTACTGAAGTCGTAGTTGAATCCTTGTTGGGAGTGGAGTCGACACACAAAAAGGCGCCCGCATGAGCTGCCACGAGAGCTTGCACAGTGGCTATCGATCTCTTGTCAGATCTGGTTGGTCCATGTCTTCGACACTTTCGCCTCAAGGGGATCACTAATGTTGTAACGGTAGCCAAGGCCGGGGTGTCACCGCCCAATTACGCCTTGTGTGAGTCCCCCAAGGAAGAACACGACAAGAAGATGGAAAATCAGAAGTCTTTGAGTGTAAAAGGGTACAACATATTTAGAGCAACAAACGCGTGTAGACTATGTCTGTCGGGCCAATTAGCTTCTGGCGTGGCTAGTGGCACGATTGGCTGGTGACTGTAGCTTGAATTTTAAATTATTGATTAATCGCCTGTCGGTATGCTTCGTCGCCTGTAGGCCGATCGATAGCCTGCCGTGAGCGCGTTCGCTACTTGTATGCTAGCTGTCCATTAAGCGCTTCCTAACAAGTAAGTATACGCAGCCGTTTTGTGAGAATGACTTGCTTTTTGTGAATAGAACTCTCCTCGCAGTCGATTGCCTTCTCTTTCTCCCCAATGCTGGCTTTGGGAACAACAGTCGGACAAGCCCACGGTTCCTGTTAATTACAAGTGTTAGGGGAAGGTCATGACAATGTCCACCTGCTAGAACAATAAGGATGTTGTGGGAAATGCATTCGCTTGTCGGGTTACGGGCCAACCTCCTGTCGCGCCTTGGGGCTGAGTCTAGAAATCTCACAGCCAGTCGCAGGAATGCCTGCCAACAGGGCTTACAAAAGCTGTGATGGCCGTTTCTGGCCTATTAGTCGTCGTCAGCCAGCCATACCCAGGTCGAGGTTTCCATGATCTGGGATTCCAATCCGTATTGGTTTGGTCCGTCAGCACCGCCCCCTGTGATCGGCGATACTCGTCCTTTTAGGACGGCATAGAACATGAATTAACACTAGCCATCCTTCGGTCAAGAAGACAACGCGCGATAGCCCCATCGCACAGAGGGCCAGGATACGCGCGACCTTCAAGTGCCGACACCACACGACCGCTGCCCAGATAAGTGGCTCGCGCAGGGAACAATAACAGGAGACATAGGGGACAAAAACTGTTTGTTGCTT